TTTTCCGGCTCAGGGAGGAAAGGTCCTTGGAAAGCCACTGGAGTGGCAGCCTTAGTCTGTGGGAGTCAGACACCTTTTGTGAAAGTTCAGACACATTTGCATTGAACTGTGCCTGGTCTGTGTTGAGTCAAGGGCTGAGTTATCGTGAAAAGTAAATAAATTCTGTCTCTCTGATGTATTTACACTGGGAGGTAGTTTAGGGCGGGGTCTACGCTGCTCTGCGTCTTACGGTGGAGTACAATGTGTCCTGATTGCTGCCGAGGCCTTTACGAACTACTACAATATGTATAATAAATAATGCCTTTTGTTCCAGGCTGTAGTTACCAAAGTACCTATTTTCATTCCATCAAAATTATTACACAGTAGCTTGTTGATCTGTTTAGTGTCAAGCTAATAAGTGTGTGCGTATACATGTCAAAAGCCTTTTTTGCTGCATAATGCAGTAATTTAAATTACTTAATTTAATTTTAATTTAAAAAGGAAAAATAAATCAGTGTAGTGGAGGGGGGTCAGAGTTTGAAACTTTTCAAAGCAGCGTTTATGTATTTATACCATGTGCCCCGGAATTACAAATGGACAAAACTCCACTACGAATGAAGCTCTTTCTGCAATGCTGAGAGCTTTCCCCCAGTCAGACATTCCCTCCCCTGCCGCGTCCCGGACCTGGAGTCGGTGCTTCACAAGGTGCACTCACGTTGCATTAACGACCTTGGTGAGAGCCCGAGGCTTTGACCCACCCGTGTGGGTGACAAGCGCTCAAGGTGTGATTCATCAGACTAAATACACGTTTCACTGATTAGTCTTCAAATCTCAGCACCTGCATTCAGTTTGGACCCATCAGACCACCCCTGGAGGAGGCAGGTCAGGCAGTGCTGGATCGCGTGTGCCACCACGCAACATGCACATCATGAGCTGTGGGCTGCTGGGCCACCAGGGAGAGCGCGTGGCCGTACCCAGCACAGGGGAGGATGAAGGCCCTAAAACCACCAGAACAGCAGCAGGGGTGTCCCAGGGATGGGATGAGAGCGGGATGTCACTGCCGGGGAGAGGGGCACGTGGTGCAGCAGCACAGAGGGGTGCACAGGGAGGGGATCCGCAGCCCTCGCCGGGCACGGGGACAGCCACGCAGCGCCAGCCCTCCGCTGTGCTCCGAGGCGACCTTGCCAATGCAAGCTCCAGGCTTCAGACTAAACATTTTTTGATGCAATTTATATTTCTTTTCCGGATAACCATGACAGAGGGCAGTTGCATGAGCTGACCAGTCCCTCAGCACTTCTCCATGATCCAGAAGGCCGGCCGAGCAGCTGAGCAGCGTTGCCCCCACCTCCCAGTCCGTTCCTCCCCAGGGGTGCACTGGTCAGACACCTACAAAACCCCAGGGGACTGCGATGGCTCTGAAGCCTTCACGCCCCAAGGGATGCTACACCCAGGCCCTGTGCTCTGCCCAGCCATCCCTGCAGTTCATAATTCTCAAACAAAAACAAAATGGTGAAGGGATTACTTTGGTTTCCTTCCACAGTTTGGGAGTTTTCCACAGAAACAGCGGCGATGCAATATAGTGAAAGCTGTGCATAAAGCGATGTTGTGTCTGGTGTTTGACTTTGCAATACTAAATACGAATGTATCTTCATCCTTTTCCTTTTCCCTGTTAATGTTGGTGGAGATTTTTATAAGGAATTAGGAAGGTTTGAAAATGCGTGAGAAAGGGCTTGAACTTTTTTCAAAACAGTAGATGATTCATATTTATAAAAATACAGCCAGAGCAATTCAGATGCCACTTCTCTCACCAGGGCTCATTTCAAAGATCATAATTAGAGCAAATCCGATATACATCAGCCAAGCCCAGGCAGGAAAAAAGTGCTTCTAATGGAATCTTGAAATCACGTCTGTGTTTTAGATGCATCCTTCGGATGTGCCACCACACATACATCCATGGAGAACAGACAGTTCAGAATAAAACAGGGTCCCCATTTGCTGCTAATGAATACTGACTCCAGCCTGCAAAAATCTGATCTGATCTCATCCAACCACCCCCTTGAGATCAGCGTCTTTCTTTCATTGAGTACAATTGAGTGGTCTGCATTTAAAAAACAAAGCTTAGCATCTCTCTCATCTTTATGATGTGGCTTTAAGATACAATCTAATGAACCTGAAATTGTGACTCAGGCTTCTAATGAAGCCTGAAATTATAAAATCTTGAATGTAATGTCACTGTCAGGCTTGCTATTAGGTGGCGGAAGAGACGTCACCAGCATCTTGCAAATACATGGACCTTGTTTATTATTGTTGTTTATTACCCTATTTGTAAAGAATCTGCAAGCCCTGAGCTACTCCCAGGTCTCATGGTATTAAGCACTGAACAGTGATACGATTAAAACGCCTTCTCTACAAGGCTGACACTTTAAATAAATGAGCTGAATTACACGGCGGGGTAGGTGGGGGCAGGCGCAGGGATGGGGTGCAGGGTGCCCCGGTCGCCCGCACTCCCCCGGGCTGATGGGGATGCTCCTTGCGCTGCTGGGAGCACGCTCCCCTGGCAGGCGGCCGCTTGCCTTTTCGCCCGCTTCCTCATTACCATCCCTCCCCGCCAACGATAAAAGCGGCATTCCCCGACTCCCTGCAGGGCCACGGCCGGGGCCAGGCCAAGGGCAACCGATATAATTGCTCCTGAAATACACGTGCTGACCAAGCAGGGCAACCCACTGGACAAATAGGATTTTTGCTAAATTAGGACAATTGCCGAGCACGCTTCATCTCCTCTCCGGGGCTCTATACATAGATGAAAGGCACACCCAGTTGTGAAATCTGTTGAAATGGCACACCTGGTGCTGTCTGCAAGTCTATTCACAACCGTTAGCAGGTGCGACTTGGCCTTTGTGGCCATAAAAGTCTGGCTGCACAGCTCCTGCTGTGCTCCCTGTGCCTTTGCTGCCCTGCGTGCTTTGGCAAGGGAGGCTGTCACAGATTAATACGGTTGTTTGAAGCTGTTAGGAGCCACCGCCTGAAGCATGTAGCGGCTTCAGAGGGATCAGAATAAGGCCTGTGCGTACAGGATGGATTTGCGGCTTCGGTCTCAGTGGCTGCGCCGGAGTGGAGGTAATGGGCAGGGCAGGGCTGGTGCCTGAGCAGGGGCACGGCACGGCACGGCACGGTCCCTGCAGCCCCAGGGATGCTGCCGAGCGGCTTGGCCAGCAGGTACCAGCAATTTGCTATCTAGCCCGTCTTTGGGCTCAGCCTCTCCAAAAAGGATTTTGCTTGCTCTGCTTTGCTACATCTCAAACAGCTCAGCAGTAAGGTGGAGCACCAAAAGCCCCAGCCCCAATCCAGATTCAAATTTAATTTAAGGAAGGACGCCATGGACTTTGGAACAGGTTTTCCACAGCAGTTTTCATTCCCCCTGGTTCACACAGGATTTTGCTTGATATGAACTAAAAAAGGGATGCTCATACAAATCCTGCACTACTGCAATAGTTGCTCCTCAATTTGTCTAATCCTTCAGACCCAGTCTCATTCTTTAATTGGGAACACATTTTTACAAGGGCTTTAATTGCTCTCCAGATGAATCATGAGGGAGGAG